GTGTGTGTGTGTGTGTGCATGGGGGCACGAGCATGTGTGTGAGCTGTGGTTTGGTCCCTCTTAGCCGAAGGTGGCGCCACAGTTGGGACACCGTCTCTGACGCAGCGCGAAGCAGAAGAGGAGACCCAGAGGGAAGAAGAAGATGGCACACAGGATCCCCAGGCAGGTGAAGTCATCCTCCAGGACACCGACTCTGCAACACACACACGAGGAAGTATAAGATGATGAGATGATGCAGATTCTAGGTCAGGCGAGTCTGCATGTTCTCCTTGTCTAGAAATGTCTGTCGGTGCCAATGAGCGTGTGAAAGCTTGTTTATCTCGACGATAAGTTGGTGACCTGTCCTGTCGTCAGCTGGGATTGGCTCCAGCTCCACCCATGACCCCTCAAGGATAAGCGGATGTCGATTAGTTCCAGGTCAGGTGACCAGGTCACGTCTACTTGAGGAAATTCGTCTGACCATTATCACATTTTACAGTGTGTCTGACCCCAATCTGAACCATGTCCATGAAGAAGACACAGCTCTGTTTGAGTCTGAACCTCATAATAAAAAGAAACGTTTATTTTCACTTTCGAAGCCAAAGATAATTAGAAACCACTTCTAATTATTCAGTCCAGAAATGCGTCACAAATTACAAAAAGAAGTCAAATATTTGCCCAATGGAAAAACATGTAACTGCCTTTAAAGGTAAGTGAGTACAACCAAAACATTTTCTGCTTCGTGGGACAAATACCATGAAGCATGAAGTAATTTATGTTGAAGGGTCTCCTGACTGCAACAAGCTGAGCAGCATGCCCAGTAAATCTGCTGGTCAACCAAAACCCTACAACAAAATGAAAAGCGACTGTACTTTGGAGAACACAAAGATTTTAGTTGGGATAAATTAAATAGAAATGATCTTTATATATAAATACACTGATATTAGATTTTTAATATCAGTGCAAAACAACTTAAAACTGTGTGTGTCTGATCTCAGGTTGCACCACACTGTGCTGCTGTAACACGTCTGCCAGGAAGTGGCCATGATGCAAATACGACTGACTAACACTGTACTAACTTTCTTCACATCTACTCAAGGTTTTGCATAATGTGGAAATGCTCAGTCACTGATGAGCATGTCTACTGTTATCACAAAGTTCTTTTACAAATACAGAGTTGATGCAAAGTACTTTTAACACAGTAATTAACAGCCAGATGAGGACATGAATAATAAAAAGTGAGTCATATCTACTTAGATTAAGAATTCAAGTCGCAATGCTTACTACGGGCAGAGTCTTGTTCTGTCTTTAAAACAACATCAGTGTTCACTGCAGTTTTAGTGACCAAGGTTCTTAAAACTGTATAATTAATCATAAAACAATATACTTCAGAGACTCTTAGTCATAAAAGTAACCTATAAACAGATAAATAACTAGAGTGGTTGAGCACATACCTGTGCAATAGCCCCACAGTCCCCAAATGAAACCACATTTAAACTCACCAAACCACACACACAGAAACATAAGTCCCCTGAACATGCCTGATCTTTGTGGAGCGAATTATTCCCCGAGAAATTTAGGGAAAATGTTGAAAACCAACCATCTCACAATGTGAAAGAAAAGATCAATTCCTGGATCTGTCCCCTGATCAGTTTCCTCCTTGGGTCATTTCCCATCACTCTAAACAATTTCAAAGAAATCAGTTGAGTCATTTCTTGAGTAATCCTGCTTACAAACAAACAAAGAGGAAAACAAGACCTCCTCGGTGGAGTTAACTATTTCACCCTTGAGCTCTGTGAAACCACTAACTAATTAATTCACCGCATGACAGTAAATAATCCTGTGGCAGAGCTGTGGAACAATAAGACGTCATAACCTGGTTGCTTAAGTTCCTGGATTAGATGTAAAGATTTCATTATACAAATTCAAACAGTGGACGAGAGTGCATGTGATTTCTAATTAGGTTTTGTGTGGATTGTGTCCTGTAGTCACCTTTAGTCCTGTGTGGCCTGAACAGCCCCGTCACATGTTTGAGGCTGAAATCATCTGACTGACAGGATGTTGACTCAGACACAATGTGAAACCTTCTTTTTCTAAGAATGAAAGTCAGAACCGCCCCGCAACAGTGTAAGCATCTGCTTGTACAGCAGTAAGGTAGGGGAGGTGAAAACACACATCCTGGGAGACACAGGCAGAGCCGAGTACGGAAACTGGGTTAGTCGCAGTGAGCGCGTGTTCAACCACGTGTTCAACCACGTGCTAATCGAGGGACCTTGCCTCATTTTTATGAGTTTCATCAATGAACTCATCAAATCACTGTTTCACTGTCCTCACCCCGGATGTCTGACATTGAACACCCCCCAGTATTGCATGTGTCGTCTTGGTGTGTGTGTGTGTGTGTGTGTGTGTGTGTGTGTGTGTGTGTGTGTGTGTGTGTGTGTGTGTGTGTGCGTGCTTGCGTGTGTGCGTGCGTGCGTGCGTGCGTCCTCACCTGCAGGCAGGGCAGCCTCCCACCACCACTACAGAGGGCTGGATGATGGTGTAGGTCCCAGTGTAGGGCTGCTGGGATACGGCAGGGGCCATCTGAGCCGATGGGTATCCTGTGGTCGACACAAGGTGATGACACATGTTATTTTGTAAGTAGTGTAAATACTTGTTTTATAGAGAAATTACCCATATTGTGTTTTTTATTACTCAGTCTGTGATAATGTGAAATGAGACTCAGCAGTGACACAGATTTACCGAGGCTACACTTATCACTGTAAACAGGTTTGGCAGCACAGTCAGATCGTCCTGAAGTTGATGGTTAAAAGACAATGGACAGTGTCACTTAGTTTAAAGTAAAGGTTTGACATTTTAAAGCCAAGTTAAATTGACCTTTAGTCCGGTTGTTAGTAATCTGGAACTAGGGCTGGATGAAAATATCAAGATTAAAATGTTCCCATCACTTGATATCGATAATAATCACAATAACTTTCACATTATTACAAGTTTAAAGACAGATTTTTGCTCCTAAACATTTGACAACAGCAAAACATTTTACAAGGTTGATCAATTATGTGTTACACCTCCTCACTGTGCTCACACAATGGATAAGCCTTTATTATAACTTTTGTTTTTGATAAATATTCCTATTGTTTTATCGCTCAGCCCCATCTGGAACTGATCAATTTCATGGTACATGTAAATGTCACGTGACCGAGTCCTACAATGCACTTTGTTATATTCAGGAGAGCATTATTTATAGGGACAAAGACACTTGAGGGATTATTGGTTACAAGGAACATTCAACTGTCAAAAATATCTTTCACTTATAAATGTAGATCACATCCGATCATTAAGTTACTACAAACATGAGGTGACTGAAAAATCAAAGTACGGTTATGGCAAGTTTTGACACATGAGTGTTTTTGTAGAGGAGCTGGTTTTCACAGACTTTTCTGTCCATCTGCGTCGATACGTGTTTGACACAATGAACTTTGATACCATACAAGCCATCACTTGTTTATCAGCACTTTTACCTTTTATGGACGCCTCTAACTCGCACTAAACCAGGACATGGCACGTGATCGCAAGACATCTTAACTTTTCTCACAGTCAGGTGATGATCTGCCTCCTTCAAATGCAGCACACATGTACAGTAGAAGGCCTGAGGCAGCAGTAGCACCACCACAGTGGTGGCTCTATAAAAGCTGCCTGGACAGTACCAACAATTCAACATATTTCACATTCTGATGCTTCCTATAAAAACACAGGCCTCTGGGCTGGATGAGTTCAGAATCAGAAATAATGTATTGATCCGCAGGGGGTATTCGGGGAAATGTTTTTTTTTTTGCTGCAGCCAAGAATAGAAATATATACAGACCAAGAGAGTTACAATGAATAGAAATATAAAATATGTTTGTTTTGTAGAAATGTGTATGTCTATATGATTGTTTGATCCATCAGTGGGTAAAAAAACGTTTTATCCTTGGTTATGTGAAATGGGTGAGATGCATGTAGTGATGTGATGACAATATAACAAACAAGAAATATCAAGTATAGCAATAGAGTATGTAAAATAAGAATAATGTAAAATAAATATGTGCTTTATAATACAATACATAAAGAAGTTGAAAGGAAAATGTGACAACTAATTCTGAACACTAATTATCTAATTATAAATTTGATTAACTAATTATAAATGTAATTATTTATACACAATTATTATTGTTGGAGGTTTAATTAGCACGATTTTTTTTATTGACGCAAAAATAGGTCACTAACACTCAATAACCAAAAAAATGCTGCTGGCACATTGCGCATGCGCACCACGGGATCGGATGAACAACATAAATGAGCTTTTCGCAGTAAAACGAAAAGTCTCAGATACGAAGCTTCATTATTTAACATCGTAGATTTGAAATACACAGAATCAGAGGCGACACGGAGACACAGCAGGTTTCATTTAGCCGGAGGCGGAAGTTGAGCAGTCGGAGCTCACTTCACTTCACTTTTCGGGTTAAACGTGTGCGACACACGGACACACTCACCCTGGACGTCTGGGTAGGGGTACGGCGGCGGGGCCGGAGGCTGGATGGCCCCATAGCTGTGCTGCTGCGGGCCGTACTGATAAGCCCCCGGGACTGCGTTGTAGGCGGGAGGTCTGTCCTGGAGGAGCGGTTTGCTGTCCACCATCTCCGCCGACGTGTTGTCTCTGTCCTCTGGCCCTGGAACTTCAAAACTCCTCCGCAACACTCGAGGCTCAGAGCTGAACTCCGGTTACTTCGTGTCGGTGTGCAAAAACCAAAGACAACAGAGAAAAGACGCTGCGTAAAAATGAAACTTCGTCCCTCTCCATGCGCCAACTTTGTCCCCGGCGGCGCAACAACCCCCCCCCCTTCACCACCACCAAAAAATACAATATTCACCCAAACGCGCAGGGTGAACACGGGAATGGAGTGAGTCCGCCTGCTTGTGGTTAACTTAGCTCCATGTCCTCCTCGCACTTGGTCCTTCGATGCCAAAACAACAGTTGTGTGTCATCGCGGCAGGTTTTAACTCCGCTGGAAGTCACAGGCTCGTTCCTTTCTGTCTGGATTGTCACAAGAGAAGAATCATGTGACGAGTCTCCTCTGCGCACTCAAAGGCTTCTTAAAGAGACACGACGGGCTCACGAGAGGCTGGAGCTGCAGCTGCTGCTGCACTGCAGAGTCTGAGCTTCATCACTGGAACACTCTGCTTCCTCCACAGACAGGGGATCCAGTCATCAGCCTCTGGAGGTTGTTGAGTTAACAGCTGTGACAGTTCCCCGTGGAGCGAGGGCAGCCCGGTTTACACTGTGACTTACATAATTGGTCCTCATCACAAGTGGGCTACATTTGAGGTTGCATAATATTGAACAGTCAAACAAAGCATGAGGCTGCAGGTTATCAAAGGAGAGGAGAAAACAACAACTTGGATATTTCCTGGTAGTACATTTACAAGATTTTTCTTTTTTAATGTTAAATCATAGTTAGATGTCAACATGGAAAACACAGTAGTTGTTCTCGATTGTCTCGTCCATTATTCTTAAAAATGGAATAGACAAACAAATATTTGAATATTTTAAAGATACACTCAAAATAAACTGAACTAAAAATACTAGTGAGATCTTTAATTTGACATTTGCATTATTACTCTTGAAAAAAAAGTCCTACCTCCAAAATGTTTGAACCATTTCTTTCTCTGTTTCATTCAGGAGCTCAGGGTCTGGATCACCACACAACTGTGAGGAATTTAAAATGAACTGATTACAAGAAACATAACATCAATATAATCCATCAATGTACAACGTACAAATGTAAAATACATTTACAGTTTGTAGTACAATTTTGAGGTACTCCAGTATCTTAATGTTAGTCTACTTTCTGCTTCAATGCATCTCAGACAGGGATATTGTAATTTCTTCTTCACTACATTTGTTTGACAAACATTTCTTTATGTTAACATTTTACATAAGACATATGATGATCTTTCATTTCACCAAAACAATCCAATAGTAAAGGTCGCACCAGTGGTTTCAGTATCCTGAACAGTTCAACTAAAGTACCACGTGCATCACGTACAGTGTGACAACAGTGTGACAACAGTGTGATAACAGGTTTCAGGTTCAGTGTGTAGAATTTAGTGACATCTAGTGGTGAAGTTGCATGCTGCAGCTGAATAAGCCCTCAGCCTCCAAACATGACAGAGAACCTGTGGCAGCCTTCACTTGTCATATAAACTCAAAAGATGTTTAGTTGGTCTGGTCTGGGCTACTGTGGGAAAAAAACATAGTATTTCAATATAAAGGTAAACGTACAATCAAGATGAAGTACACAAGTGAAAACACCAGTAGGATTATTTTATAAATATAATTGTAAATCTTACACACTGGACCTTTAAAGCTTGATGAAAATATCTTGACCCAGATGATGGTGATGACAGTTTTAAAGAGTTTTACTTGACAAACATTTTCATGGGCTGTACTGTACTAAGAAACTTTTTTGACAGGATGTGGAGCATTTTTATTTTTCATTGATCCAGTTCATGGTCAGGGCAGATTATCCTACACCTCATATGTCCTGTAGTCCTTGAACGTGTCTTTGTTTTTAATCCTGGTTTGTAGTGTACAATATTTCAAACTGTGTCCAAACGCGTAAAACCAAACCTGCGCCTCAATAATTCATCAGGCGCTGGATGAATTATTAAAATATGCGCGTCGATCAGCTGCGGCCCTCTGAAAAAATATATGTCGGCAGCTCCCGTGTTCGACCAATGGGAACAAAGAGATGCCTCCTTCAGCCAATCAGAGGGACGCTTCCTCCATTTCCTGTTGTGGACAGTGGGAGTCGGACAGGCGCATTCCTCTGGTTCCGTGGTGGGAATCGAACGCCGCTGCGGGTTTGAGCAGGAATGACGCTACTTTACTGCACCGCTGCAAAGCTGCGGCACATGACAGCGCCGCGCACGTAAGTAAGTGTTGTGAATATGAATATGAACGTGCGTAAGGTTGAAGTGGCGTGCGCCAAGAAGATGTAAACGGCTTATAGCCACATTAGAGTCTGTGTGTGTGTGCTGCCACATATGTAACCTCCTTGTTGCGTGTGTGTGTGTGTGTGTGTGTGTGTGTGTGTGTCAGCATGGGCCTCGCAGGAGATGGCAGCTACCTGTCTGCTGTTACACCTGATGTCATGACGCGTCTGCGGACATTCCCTTGACAACCGCGGATCGGATACCAATATTCAGGTGTGTGTGTGTGTGTGTGTGTGTGTGTGTGTGTGTGTGTGTGTGCGTGTGTGCGTGTGTGTGCTGCAGGCTGTAAGTCACTGTATATTCATTTCTTGTACAGAATTCTCCTGATGCAACTTTACTACAGCTTCAGTCTATTCATTATTATAGTAATAATAATATTAAATATTATTGACGCACATTTCTTCTCAGAGACTCAACAAACGGAGGTGTTTTTCAGTCCTACCATGACAGTCGATATGTGGCGGATTAGTATCAGTCATTACACGTGTCAAGCCGATCAGTGGGAATAGACATAAGACTTCCGGTCAGTTTTCACAGTAAAACTCTACTAACTAATGTTTTGGGTCACTTGAAACCAAAATGTCTAAAGTTTGACCCCATGACTTTAAGGAGAAGTACGGAGTGCAACATTTTGGAATAAAGCTTTCAGTGTATTAGCCATTATCCCTATATCTTTATGTCTATTTATGTGTAAGTACACTGAGACACATCCCTTGTATATGTATTATGTATGTATGCAATAGATGTATATGCAATATGGTGATAAAGTTATTTGCTCTCCACCCTTCTAGTTTATTATTATTATGGTGATGCAAACTACCAGCATGGGAAAATAAGATTATCAATAAGGCTGAAGTACACACAGTCATAAAGTATAGACCAGACAGCTTGGAAGAATAAGTGATGTCTACTTGTCTGTGTTCAGGGTCCATCATGCCCATCACGCTGCTGTGGGCCGTGGACGTGTACGGCCGGGTCTACAGCCTCTCCACAGCCGGCCAGCGCTGGGAGCGTGCAGACGACATGCTGCTGGAGCTGAAGCGTATTACTGCGGGGAAGGGCCGCTGCTGGGGCATCGGCTGTGACCACCGTGTTTACCTCAACATGATGCCCAGTGAGACGCCCATCCGCTACAGGGAAGAGACCTATGAAAACCAGGTCTGCTCTGCCTCTCTGCTGTTGCACAGATTAGATGGAGACATTACTCACGTTACTTCATGCTCAAGTTCTGTTTGTGTGTGGTGTCAGAGGTGGAACCCGGTGGACGGCTTCACTGACACGCTGCTGCCCACCGACCGCTGGCCGTGGAGTGACGTGACTGGGATGAATCCTCAACCGCTCCACAGCTTCCAGTTGCCCTCCCGCAGCTGGGAGTGGGAGGGAGACTGGTATGTGGATCAGAGCTGTGGAGGGGAACCCAGCCAGACTGGGGTGAGAAAGAACACATGGCCTTCTCTTTTATTTCTAGTCATCTCTCTATCATTCTGGTTTTGACTGGTGAAAACGATAATGTCCTGCTCTCCGCAGGGCTGGGAGTATGCAGTCGATTTCCCAGCCAACTTCTCCCCGGACAAGAAGTGGAATTCCTGTGTTCGGCGCAGGCGTTGGATCCGCTACAGGAGATACATCGCACAAGGCACCTGGGCAAAGGTTTGGAGTCTCTCTTTATATCTGTGAGATCCTATGGGTGTCACAGTCGAACGCTCAGTGTGGAGTAGATGAGGTCACTGGTGAGACTGAGTTTCAAACGTTGTTCTGCAGATCCCATTGGACCATCCCAGGAAACCTCCGCTGCCGCTCTGTGACATCAGCTGCGGTGGCTGGGAGATGAGCGACCAGTCTGGAAGGTATCCCTACCTCTGGGGTGTGTCCCAACAAGGACAGGTCAGTTTACTGCTCCAACACAAGTTATTTCCTCTGTTTTCTGTTATATACTTAAATAAGATGCTTTGTTGTTTTCAGGATATTCTACTGTTTGGTTTATTCTCATGTGATGACCTCTTTGCATAATTCTGTTGTCAATTTAACACTTCAATCAAGTATTTATTCATTGTATAAAAATATATATAACTCTCGGGTACTGTAATAACAAACCTGGTTTAAGTGAAGTTCACTTCTAATTTGTGACCACATGGGGGCAGCATGACTTCATGTGATATGTAGAGTCAACATTGAGGGTCCTATGTCGTCCTGTTTGACTAAATGAACATTGTGTCCATTGCAAGTTTTATTTTTAAACACACAATTAAAATGCCTCTCAGTCTGATCCCGTGAGCATTCGTCTCCTGCAGGTGTGGTTCAGGGAGGGCATCCACCCTCGGGTGCCAGAGGGCTCCAGCTGGGAGGAAGTGGACGTGCCCAAGGAGGTGGCTCAGTTATCAGCTGGACCTGGAGACCTGCTGTGGGCTTTGCTCTGGGATGGAAACCTGCTGGTCCGTACCGGCCTCAACCTGGACAGTCCCACTGGTGAGCATTCAGCGCAGCTCACATTTACCCCCCAAATAATAACCCCTCTGTTTGTTAGACACTGCTACAACATGTCTGCATGAAGTGCTGGGAATTATGTTTTTCAGACAGTATGTGAGGTCGTTAATAAACTTTAGATTATCACATTGAATGATGAATGTTTTTAAGGTCTTGTGGCGTTTTCATTCAGGCACTTCGTGGGTCGAGGTGGAGTCTCCAGTTAAGGAGGTTGAAGCGCTTCATGTGGCTGTTGGAGTCAGTGTGGTCTGGGTGGTCACTAAGGATTTCAAGGTGAATCAATACGCCTCACAAGTAGCCGTACAGCTGAGGTTCATCGGTGTGGTAACAGATGTGTATTTAAATATATGTGTGTCTGTGTGTGTGTGTGTGTGTGTCAAGGTGTGGTTCCGGCGGGGTGTGAACTCTCACAACCCCTGTGGCTCTGGCTGGATCAGTATCGGAGGGGAAATGATGATGGTGGATGTCGGACTCAACGACCAGGTTAAAAAAATTCTGTTGCACAAAATAACAATTAAATGGAGATTGTCTTTCCTCACTACTTTTATACTGTTGTGTGTTTAGATTGTGTTTGTGTTGTCTGGCCCTTTGTTTGTTAGTTAGCAGGATTACACAAAAACTACTCAAATGATTCCCATTAAATTTAGGTGGTGGAGCATGACCCAAGAAAAATGGATTTAAATTTGTGGCAGATCAGGATCTTTCTTTCAATAATTCATGGATCTTAATGGGGAAAAAACCGGCATGTTTAGGGGAATAATATGATGCAATTTGGAAAATTTCTAAAAATAAAATCCAGATCTGGTGAATTTAAATGGTTTATAAAGGGACTGTTGGGCTTTGGTGGAGGTTTGTTTAGTATGAATGAGACTTTCCTTTTATTCGCTGCTCATCTTGAGCAAGACTCCCTCGCAGTAGGATAAGGATAATAAAGTCAAATAAAGCCTCTGAATATGTCATTCAAAAGCAAATCTTAATATTGGGTTAGGGTTAGGCCCTAGATTCGCCAATGTTGAATCCATACTATATGAAAATATCCCATTTGTGCATAGAGTATAGATTCAACATTAGAGAATTCATTTCTTTTTATGTAAGAAAATGGATAAAAAAACATCTTCAGTTCCAGTACCAACTGAAAGAACACAGATGTGTAGATTTTGTTTTTGTTTGTATTTCTTGACACTTAATTATTCAGTATTTACTTTCTTCAGACTTTCTGACTCCCTCCAGTCTCGCTCTAGCCAGCGTCTCTCTGTCCTTCCCCTCTGGCAGATTCACTTCACCCTCCCGTAGGATCTGGTTTCAGGACAAACCAGATCAGGCCTGGGGTGTCGAGGTGGGGGTGGGGGGGTGGTGGCAGTGGCAGTTAGGCTTCACTGATGAGAACTTTGCTAGCACTGCAAACCCACATCTCACACCTCCCCCCTTCAGTCTCTTCTACCTCTGGCCTCTAAGTCCTGCCCCCCCGGCGGTTGCGCTGTAACACGAGCACGGGCGGCCGTTCCAGCCAATGTCCCAGCAGTGGCACCTCCGGCCCAGCCTTATATATCCCCAGACTATATTCCTACTGGCCTGACCTATGGGAGACTCCCTAATTAGAAGCTGGCCAAGCTGTCGTCATCATATCACATATTTCATATTTCAGGGCTGCAGTTATGGATATGGCTTGTGTGAGGTGGCAGGTGCCAGTGTTACATTATATGTCCTTATAAAGTAACAGTTGCTTGTGTCCTACTACTTCCCCAAAGGCCTCTTTGAAAAGTGAATCATATTTTATTTTATTTTGAAGTATTCTGCCATATTTATCCTATTGGAATGATCTGTTCTTTCTAAATATCTTTCATGTGATTTGTTTAATGTGACAACTCGAGTGTCAGTGTGTGCACGTCATGTCTCCTTGTCCGTCAGGTGTGGGCAGTTGGTGAGGACCGTGGCCTGTATTTTAGAATCGGTGTCAGCCCGTCTGAACCGAGCGGGAACGGCTGGATTCCTGTTTCTGGCCAATGGGGCAACAGTAAAAAGGTTTTTCCAGCCAGGTCTGTGTAAATAATTTAGTTTGAAGTGACACACGAGGTACAACCTTTGCATACAGATGTATTACCGTGCTTATTGTGACTCATATTTCTCCCGCTCTGTCGTTGAATAGAGACTGCTGTGAGTTTAGTGGTCAGCTGACCGAGGCTTCACAAGGCTCAGTTCTGAGCTGCACTGACTCGGACTCGGAGTTAGGACCTCCTGACCCGCAGAGCAGCACAAATGACACTCCGGTCCTGGAGGCAGCAGCCCCCTCTGTAGTCCCTCTAGGAGCTGACTCCCTGGAGGCAGAGGACACTCCTGTAGCCCCTCAACAGGATGCCCCCAAACCCTTCATCCCCGCCAGCGACAGCTTCATCAACAGCCTGGTGTCAGACCGTGACAAAACATCCACATCGCAGCCAACCATCACAGAGATACCACAGGAGGAGGTCGAGGACAAGTCCCCGGCGCCGATACACTTGACTCCTGAGGCTGCAGGACATGATGTCCCATGGATGAATGTGGATCTGGAGGGGGCAGAAGCAGCTCGGGGTGCACAGGTGTTGGGGCCTTCGTTGGCTGATGGCGGTGCTGCTGCCACCTACACGTTGGGGACTCTAGAGACTCTGCAGGGGGTCGGAGAAGAGGAGGGACCTGTGTGGGCCTGGATCTCCGGAGGAGGCTGTGACGTGGATGTGAATTCAAACATCAGCTGGCTTAGTCCCACAGGTATATTGAAAACAAGTATGCAGTGATTTTTATATTTTCAGTGAAAATTTAAGAACAATATTACTTCAAATGAAATAAAATGACAGTCACATTAATTTGGATGTTGATTTATATCGGAACAGTTTAAATGTGTTATTTGAATGTTGTACACAATGTGTTTGTTTGTGTTTCACTTGTTGCATGTGTATATATAGATGTGAGTGTCACCTGTGTATGTGCGTGTGTGTGTTTAAATGTGTGACTTGTGTGTGTGTGTGTGTGTGTCTGTCAGGTCCTCTCACCAGCTCTCTGTCAATGACTCCAGTTCAGTCGGCAGCTTGGAGCGAGCAGCAGCAGCAGCAGGAGCACAGAGAGGAGATCAGCAAGAAACCGCTGGAGAGAAGCAACGTGAGACCGGTTCAGCAACTGTCTGTCTTCATTTGAACTTGTCTCCTCTCCGGTCACATTTAATCACATCTCACACAAGCTCCCATCTTTGTCCCGTCGCCCTCTCCAGTCGGTGTGGGTGCGTAAAGGTGCGTTGCGCTGGTGGCGAGACTGGAAGCCGCAACGCTGGGTGGATGTGGGCGTCGCTCTGGAGCAGTCCACCAAGTGCGACGGCAGAAGGGACAGCATTTTCTTCGTCTATTACACACAGTATGACGAGAAAAAGGTTGGTTTTGCTTTTAGATTATGGTCGGAACATGTATTTCATCAACTAGACAACTATCACACAACTTTCTCTTTTATTTCAGTACCTCCATGTGTTCATAAGCGAAGTGACAGTGCTGGTTCCAGTGCTCAGGGACTGCCACTATGCCTTTGCTGTGTACACAGCCCAAAGGACCAAACAGAGGTGGCCTCTGGTTCTGGCAGCACAAACGGAAAAGGACATGAATGACTGGGTAAAGCAGAAGCAACCTGAATACCACTCAGTTCCTTCAACATGCCTCCGCTATCTAACCAACAAACAAACCAATTAACCAACAAACAAACCAATCAACCAACAAACAAACAGACGGGGGTGAAAACATAAACTCCTTGACAGATGTAACAAATGTGTGACTTTATATGAATGTGGCAGAATTTGAGTTTTGAGTTTTCACCTTTTATCTTGTCGGTGAATATTTTCGAGCTTTGCTGATCACATTCCCTGATGTTTCCTGGTCTTTCTCCAGTTGTGCTTGTTGTCCGACTGCTGCTGTGAGTGTCGTGGGATCACAGGTTCCCCGTCCAGACACGCCCTGTGGTCCACCACCTCAAAGGGAGACATCATGGTCCATGAGCCGTCCTTCTCTCTGGAGGCCTCTGCCAACGCACTGTCCTGTGACCTCATGTGAGACTCACACCAAAGACAAGACGCCATATTGTCTTTTCACTTCCCCCCTTCAGCTGTTAGCTTTTAATCACTAACATGCTAACCCACGGCTCTGCCTGATGAAAGTAGTTGGTATTTGAGCTGCTACTTGTCTCTTTCACTCTGTGTGTGGCAGCACTTTCTCCTCTGCTCGTGCTGAAGTGTGTGTTAACAGTGATGTGGGTAATTGTGCTGCTTCCGCTGTATGGTGCTGCAGGTTCTGGCGGCAGGTCCCGGGACACCTGCGCTGCATAGAGTCTAACAGTCTGGGGCTGGTGTGGGGCGTCGGGTGGGACGGCACCGCCTGGGTCCACAGTGGGCGCTACGGGCAACAGCCCACCCCTGGTAAACCTGCCCCCATAGATATACATATGAACAGCAAACCGTTCAGATTCCCTCGAAAGACGAGTAATTTTATACGCTAGTTTTATGTTCTAGTAATTTGTTAGCGAAATTGATCGTTTTTTTTATACATGTATATACTGTATAAAGCGGCTAAATGCGTATTCCATAATCTATAATTGGTAGAGATGTCTATAAAGAAAATAATCATTAGCTGGAGAAATATTTACCACAGATTTCTGGCTCATGTCTAATTAACTCACAAACAGAATCAATGCAGTGTTTTCTTGCTCACAGCTTGTTGTTCCGTGTGCAGTTGCTTGAGCATGGTTCTGATGTCTGCCATCTTTTGCAGTCATAGACGCACGTAGGCAAACACATGTGTAACTGATCACGTGCCTTTGTTACGGTTTCGTCCACGTTTGTGTTTCCCCACAGGAGAAGCTGTTCAGACGCACCAGCAGACGGATGTCAGGAGTGTACATGTGTTTGAGAACCAGCGATGGAACCCTATGACAGGATACACAGACAAGTAGGAACATTTCCTCTTTCACCCTGTTGGATAAAATCTTCACAGTTGATCATTTGGAGCTTTTGGAGTTGTGCTCGTTTAAAGGCTGTTGGTCAGACTCTCTCGCTAAAACATTTTTGGCTTTGGAAAAACATTTCTCTCCAGAGGACTTCCCACAGACCGCCCCATGTGGAGTGACGAAAGTGGCCTGAAAGAGTGCACCAAAGGAAACACACACCCGCCCTCCCCTCAGTGGTCCTGGGTGGGTTATATATAAAACGTTAAATCCTGCACACGTTTCATTTCTTTTTTTCATCACCACCTAATTCTCTGCCAACTGCTTGTGTCTCAGGTGTCAGAGTGGACTGTGGACTACAACGTCCTCGGGGGGACAGACAAAGAAGGGTGGCAGTATGCTGCAGACTTCCCTGTGTGAGTAACAGCATTTTCTCAGGACTTTGTCTCAGAGAAAACAGAAATGAAAAGTCAACTTCTAACTTGTGTCTTTGTCCTGCAGCACATTTCATGGCCACAAAACCCTGAAAGACTTTGTCCGGCGCAGGAGATGGACGAGGTAATCGCCCACACTTGAATATTTCTGTGGTTTTAAATTTCACAATT